AAAGTTTTGAAAACCAATTCACCCCTCTCTTGATTTGTTATTCTTGGGCTCTCACTCTTGAGTTCTAAGTATAGAGTCTAGAGGTTAGATTTGTTATTCTATTTTTGTTGTTCTTTCAATATAATATTAACACTTACTAAAAAATTGAAATGTCAACATTTTAATAAACTTAGCTACAAATTTAAATTCAATTTTTAAAATTTTGACACTTCAAAATTATAGTGATGCGACGCAAGTTTATTATGGGATAACAAAATTTGTATTTAAGATGTGTACTCCTTAGACTAGTCTTTCTCATTCTTTTAGTTGTACCTTCTTTTCGCCTATATTGCTCTCCTTATCCGTTTGGGGACGAAGGATTTTCTCTTCACATATTCTGTGATTCAATATACTCTATTGTTATATGATGCGAAAAGAATTTTGCAGGCACTAATTTACAAATTTATACCAACGTAATAGGCTTAAAATAGACTTTATTTTCGTGACTTGTAATTTCAAATATTCGAAAACATTTGAAAATAAATATCAAAGTTCATTAAGCCTCTATTATGAGACGATAATTCATAATACAAAACCAAACAAGGGCTAAGTCGTGACAACGTACATTTAGATAATTTTTACTCGTATTGTTTCATTATTTGATAGTAAAAAATGTCTTGGCCACAATATATCAAGAATGTAACGTGTAGTAAACATGTGAAATAGAATTAGAGGATAACGAAAATTCAAAGAAAATTTTGGGTAAAAAAACCTTAGCCATTGCCTTGTCATGCAATGTCGACAGTTGACAGGCGCAGAGAGAGCCACACCACACAAGGATAACCCAACCCAAAAAAGGGCCGTCCCAAATTCTGCATCCACCCTCTACAGCCACAAGGTTTTCTTCACCTCTTTACTACAGGGAAATTTCAATATACTTACAAAAAAAATACACTTCACTCTCTAATTTCTACAGGTACATACAATTCTTTCATCTTGTAATATGTATGTATCTTCTTGATGATGTTCTCCGAACTGGGTTTTCTCAGTTGTCGAAGAATATTACGTATTTTATGAATTCTTGGAAATACCTTACTGAGAACTCAAAGTGTTGAGGGTTTTATAAGATAGATTTTTCTGATTTGATAGTGAAAATCTGTTCTTTTTTGGGGAATTCGTGTTGACGGTGAATGATATATAAGTGCAAAGTATGGCCTATTTAGCTTCCCCTGTAAATTTGGGAAGCGTGAGTATGATTTCTTCGTGTCATTTTGAAGGGTCTGTTTGTTTAGTTAATCGGGTCGCTTTTCGTCGAAATGGGAGTAATTTTAGGAAGTTTTTGGGTGGCAAGAGATGGAGGTATGTGGGTATGTGTAAATATTCTGTAACAACTAATTACGTCACGGAACAAGGGACTTCGACATCTCTTGATTCTACATGTAGAGGTAGTAAAGATAATGACACGGATACATTTCTCAAGGCTGCACCCAAGCCGGTTTTGAAACCGGTATCGAAGGTTGAACCCGTTCTTAATATGCCTTGGGATGGAATGCAACTTAAAGAGGATTCAGATAATGAAAAGACAAGCGACAGTGAGGAGAGGAGTAAGGTAATTGAGTCACTGGGAGAGGTGTTGGAGATGGCAGAGAAGCTAGAGAAAAGTAAGCCGAACGTTTCTGTAAATAAACCGTCAGCGAATCATAATGCAGGCCTAAAGAATGGTAAACCAGTTAATTCAGTAGCCGATTCAAATAGCAAGTCCAAGACTTCAAAAAGTGTCTGGCGAAAGGGGAATCCTGTGGCCACTGCACCGAAAGTTGTTAAGGAACCCCTGAAACAGGATCTGAGAATAGATGGTAGAGGGAAGGATGCATCTCAAGCTCTTACACCAACAAGACCTCCTCAGCCACCACAGAAAATTCAACCACATTTACAAGCAAAACCCTCTGTAGCTCCGCCGGTTTCTATCAAAAAACCTGTCATCTTGAAGGATGTAAATGCAGCTGCAAAGTCCTCTGTTGCCGATGAATCCAATTCAACTGCAGCAACAAAAGAGCGCAAGCCAATTTTGATTGACAAGTTTGCCTCTAAGAAACCTGTGGTTGATCCTCTGATTGCTCAAGCCGTTTTAGCCCCTCCGAAACCTGGGAAGAGCCCTCCACCTGGAAAGTTCAAGGATGAGTTTAGAAAAAAGGGCGGTCCATCCGGAGGACTGCGTAGACGAAAAGTTGATGATGAAATCCCTGACGAAGATGCATCTGAACTTAATGTTTCTATTCCGGGGGCAGCTACTGCAAGGAAGGGG